AACATGTCAAAAACCACGTTTTTCAATTTTAGAAACCTATAACTCACTAGATTTCGAGCAAAAAGCGTTTAATCACTTGGAAAGGTTCCCTCGTGCGTTTCCAGTCAGTTCTGCAAAATATGAAGCCTTAGTGACTTTTAGTTTTAATTTCACAGCATTTCTACGGAAAGTTTTGGAGACTTGCCTCTGAATGCCCGTTCTTGTTCAGAAAATATTAATTAACTTTATTTTCAATTATTCGTACGGTCATCATGATGCGTTTTTTCAAATAAAGATCCGATTTCATAGACAGGTGGGTCGAGTTCATTGAGCTGAACAAGAACATGTTTTAGTCATATTTGGAAAATAAACACCAAGTTCAGTTTTTCTCTGAACAAAAAATATGCAAATAATCCTTTTTAAGGAAGAAATTTTAGATTGGCACGTTGTTTGAGTCAGTTTCGTTGTATTTCGAGTTTTATCATAATCCGACTTGAACCATAAACTATTTTTAGTAGAGTCGCTAACTTTTTAAAAGAAATGCAAAATTTAGATAATGTAGAGTTTAAATGTTTGAGAACACCGTGAAAATTCGGAAAAATACTGATATTTGCTACATTTCCAACATCAAAGGTTTTACTTCTTCTAGAACTCAATGTGATATTCGGCATCGGCATTAGAAATTCAATTAGATTATATCCGTTCCTATTCTTTTACTCAACCTCGTTTTTTGTGTGAAGAATTTTATTTTTATGGCTTACTTGTAATATATAATGCTTGTTGCCCAATATCTTTTTGTAAGTTAGGAACAGTGATATTTAAAGCGGTTAAATTACATAATCTAAAAACCACCAAAAAGATTCTATGATCGTCGTTCTTAATAAAACTAAGTGGTTGAACATACTTGAAATTATTATAAAAATTCTTACGATTTAATTCAACTGTCGATGGACAGTATAATGACGATATTTCTGTTAAATTAAGTGTACATAAATCTGTTGTTTGTTGTATAAATTTATTTGTTAATTGACCAAATATAAACAACAATAAGGGCATTGTTGAACCATGAATAATTGATACAATTGATGATATAAACATTAGTAATAAATCAAATTTTGTTGCAAAATAAAACTAGAAAACAGAGAAGAGATTTTCATAGACGATGTGATGATCTATACAGTAATGGAATAGTAGACATACAATTTGTCGAACATTATGCCAATATAAATAATTTTTCGATTTTTTCTTGGACATATTCATGATTACGTATCTGTTCAAAACACTTTGTTGAGCATCCTTATTTTAAACTAAAACTAAAAATGTGATTAAACAGAGTTCTTCTATAATAGTTGTAGTAAACCACTATCAGTTTCAGATTAATAGACCGGTGGTTATTTTTCGAATAACTTTTAGTCAATCTGATGATTGATCATGTTGAATTTCGTGACAATTTTATATTTATATTTATTTTTAGATAAAGTTTCAAAATTTAGTGAGAAGCGAGTGTTATGAAAAGCAGGTATTTTAGACTGTTTCCGCTTAATATTTAAACACTCAAATATTCACTCAAAAAACATAAAAATGAACGCAAAACCTCAGTATACAGAGTATTTATGTATTCTATTTATAGGAGGTCTAAAAGGAAAATTTACAAATAAATTATATTCAGCGTCGAGCAATGGATGAAACTCGATTCGATTGTCGCTTTTCTTTACGTTCTTAATAATTGGTTTCTCCTAACATTTACATAA